GCATGCAAAAATCTTCTCTGGCATTGATCATGCTTCTTCAGTCTAAGAGAGTGGGAAAGCAGAGAAAACAGTTATTCAATAGTGCATATGGTTTTCATGTGTTCAGAGGCACTCAAAATATTTCTGAATCACCTTTGATTCATCGACTAATCTCTGTAGATACCTTTTGCTTCACATATCAGTATTACAATGGATCAGTCCCCTCTAACAGGCGTGCACATGCTATTCCTTATTCATTATGACCAGTTCAGGCAAAAAGTCCAAGGGGAGAGTAGCAGCATTCATGTTGTTGTGGCTGGATTGAGGTGGAAAGAGATGAACATCAGTGACAAAAACTTAGTTGAATAAGTTGTTTGAGCCCATGTTTTAGGACAGCCTTTTCTAACTGGGTAGAGTCTGACTGAGTAGTTTCTAGATGCATTGCCTTATAAACCCCAGCATCCTCAGAGGTCAATCAGATTGTAGGAATTTTCATCTGGAAGGGGCAGTTACCTGGAGAAGTTGATTAAAAGCACTTTTGAAAGAGCAAATAACAAAATATACCACTAGGGGGCAACAAGAACAACCAAACATCCCTTCTTAAAAAATGCCAGCCAATTTAATTAACAAATTATTGAACAGTAATATAACAAATAGGGAGCCAGTGTAGTACAGTGGTTTGGGTGCTAGACCAGGGCACTGGGATACCAGGGTTCGAATCCCTGCTTGGTCATGGAAACCTACTCTCTCAGCCTCAAAGGAAGACAAAGGAAAACAAATATTGCCAAGAACATCCATGAAAGGTTTGCCTCTTTGGTCACCATAAGTTAGAAATGACTTGAAGACACACAACAACAAAATAACAAATAAATGCCCCCCCTTCCTAATGTTAAGGACAACAAATTATTTTCCCAATTTCAAGCTATCAGCATTAATAAATTAATTCTTAAGCTTGATATTTCAAGCTGTGCTCCTACTTGCATCTCATCAGTATTGTCCATAGAAGGCTTTCTTGTCCTCCAAGACACTTGAATGTTCAGAGATACCTTCCTTTTCAAAAACAGTATAATTTTGAATACCATACACTGGGGACTAAGAACAAAGGACCATTTATGAGCTTTCCAGAGTCATTTTGATGCTGATTGAATTTATTTCATTGGGAATAGTATTACTTATGCCATCTCTTCTACTGGCTCAACATTAGAGTGCTATTCCTCACCAAGGCCAACAACCAGATGGATTTTCTTCTTGAACAACTGGTGCATTTTTCTGCTTTAGGTTTAATGTTCACGTCCATACCAACTGCCATCACAATACTTGGCCTACTGCTGGTTTATTTTCTCCTTTCATCTACACCAACAAATGCAGTAGCAATTATTTCCCTGCTCACTAAGCATAAATTTGAGAGATTACTACACATGGCTTTTAAATGGCAATTATAGTTGGAAAAAAACACCTTTGGCGATACTTTTTGCATGATGCCACCTCTGACCCATAGTTACTGTGTCTGTGATACATGGTTAGGGTATCTCTTTCCACTGACGGGGGAAACCCATCAATAAGCTCATAATTGCGCTAGTCCTGAGATGCGAAACATTGCTGCAGCAGCAGTTGCAATATTAGCAGTCATGTGGTGTCAGTGTCTCTCCCTCTCCGTGTCCTCCTTCCCCTTTGCTTTTCCTAGGCAGACTTATTTCCTTTATTTTATTCCTATTTCTTTTTTTTAAACTTAAATTAATTAGCAGAACTTCAGAATTGTGTGAAAAAAAATGAATAAATGACAAAATGTTTTCCATTTTTATTAACTTGATGCAGTTGTGGCGAGAATGGGACTCATGTGCTAATATCCTTGACTATATGTTAGTCCATGTGCAGGCTGAAATGTCACAGAAAAAAACAATGGATAGTATTATTTATGATGAATTTTCATTTACAATTCCGAGGTCACATTCCCCAGCATCTGTCCATATGGGGAAAAACTGTTGACAATATTTTTGCAATGTGCAGAACATATGTACTCCTTCTAATTTTTCCATATGCCCATGGTTCCCCCTCCTCCCCAGTTTCCTTTGCCTGGGTTTGCATGAATGCGTATATGCAGCTATATGCACACCTCTTTTCTGTTCCTACAAATAATGTTTATTCACAGTTTTCCAAGCATATCGTTCTTGGAGTGAAAACTTGTTCCTAAGATGTAGGAATTGTCACTTGCCAATTTTAAGATCACTGAAAAGAGAATGCTCATTTCAGAAAAGCTGACATAGCTTTACCTATAAAATAGCAGCCCAAGACATCTGTTTTGTATAAATTTGTTGTTATCTTTACTGTGTAACTGAGATCATGAAGTTATTTTCCCCTCGTCTTTCACATTTAACTGCTCAGAGAAAAGGGTCTGTCAGAGTCCTGACGAACAGGATAATATTAGTTTAGGAATACTAAACTAATGAGGAATCGCATCTTTAAATGCTTTCACATGCCTCAAATTTCCAAAACTCCCTAGATATGCAAAGCCACGTTTCTAGCCTGGGCTATTCTCTGCAAGCTAGCTTTCTGCCTGAAGCCTTTCTAACATCAGGAAATAAATGATTAATACTAAATATGTACTCATACAGATAGCTTTGCACATGCCAATCATAATTCTCTTTTATCTTCTTTTAGGATGATGATTTTTTTTTTTTTTGGTAGTGTACTTTATTAACCATCTGGCTTCTTCCATATCAGTGGGGAGGTGAATCCACTTTGGATTTTACTCCACACCTTAAAGGAACTATTCAGTTACTGAATTCTTTTCCCCAAATAAGCTGAGCATTTTGAATTGCTCCTTAAAGCTCTAATAAAATCAGAATGAATTCACTGTTCCAATGACATGGGCTGCATGTGCACTGCCATGGCTCAGTACCTCATGACCTACAAAGCCCTGTATGGCTCAGGTCCAGGCTACATGGCAGACTGTATCTCCCTGTATGAGCTGGTCCGGGCTCTGGGATAATCAGGAGAGATCCTTCTCTCAGCGTCACCACCATCACAAGCACGGTTGGTGGGGACACAAGAGACTCTGGAACTCCCTTCCAGTTTTGGATTTCGAGGATCTGGATGCAATTCTTGTGTTATCTGTGTAGTTTTCCTGTCTTCCAAATCACCAGATCTACTTATGTCTTATTGTAAATACATACAGGGCCTGAGCAAATGGGGCAGGATAGCAAGGCTATCCTAGGTCAGCGTGGGGAAGGGTACTGTTGTCACACCAACCCAGGACCTGAGCCACTACTTACCTTTCCAGCCAACACACCATCTGCAGGTGCCCATTTCTGCATCAGACAGGGCAACTGGGGGACTTCTCAGATGGTTTGCAGGACAGTAGGGCAAGGAGTCAGGGGAGGGGGCTGTCAGAATAGTTCAGTTTTGCTACGGGTTTTCTTGGAAACTGCATAAAACCAGCACTGTTTTACCCCAAGGTTCTTTACCCAGAGTCAAAAAGCTTCCTCTGTACTGGCGGGATGAGTCCCAATCCTGCCACGGGGTTTTTGGCCTGTGCCATCTAAATTAGACAACACCAGGCTGGGGGGAACCTGGATCATTTGGCCCATGCAGACAACCCCATAGTGTACCTTTCTCTCTGGGTGGTTAAAATTTTATTAATACTTATGAGTGACACATCTTGAATGTTTCTCTGTTGTACCTCAGGAGTGCTTTCCTTCCCTCCCTATTTGGATAAAGCACAACAGAATAAAGAAAATTATGGAAAAATATGGGTAATAGTAGTTTGTAGGGTTTTTGATGACATATCAATTGCAAAGGAGCTGGTGATTGGCTTTAAACACTGATTTGTTGAAAGGCATATCCATTTCTGAACTCTAATTGAAATAAAGTTATTTCTTTTAGACTCTCTCATTGACGTAGTGTAGACATTAACAATATTTGGTCTTGAAGTAAGGAAGCATATGTAAATAAGAGAGATCTTGTAGCTGAAAGTAAAATCTTTCTTTCATTTCCTGTGACCTAGAACAGTAATCCTAAAAAGGAAAAATAATAATAACTGGTATGCGTGCATTGAAAGCCATTTGACAACTGTGTGATGGTAAAAAGGCTTTGGAAGGAAGGTGATAGAATTCAATTAATGCAGGTTGTTGTTGTTGTTTAAAAAAAACCCTGTTCCAACCTAAATCCTAATTCTAATCCTAATTCTAATCCTAATTCTAGAATAAACCTATTGACACAACAGGATTTACATACATGTGGAGTTATCATTCAATAGGTTGGGGTAGCAGTTGGATTTAGACTTTGGTTTTTATTGTTATGTGTCTAAATTTCAAAATGATTTCATTAGTTTCATTTTTTTAAAAAAAAAATGTTTACTTCCTTTTATACAAAAGAAAAGAAAAAACACATAAAGAAAAGTGGAACAACAACAACAAAACACTGCCCTCCCTCCAACACTGGTTACTCAGGACACAAACTCTGTTTTCATGGTAGGTCCTGAAAGGAGAGAAGAAGAATAGAGTGCAAAATTGGAGTCAACGTTGTCAACAGTTATTTCAGCACATCCTTCTGTGCACATGTTGCTTTTGCAGATCAATAACTCCCTGCGTCCCCACTTCTTTAATTTTTAAAGAAGGACATTCTTGATCCCATAATTTACTAAAAGTCAAAAGGAGCAGAGCATTTTACATCCATGAATGAATTTTAAAATGCTAGTCTAAATCAAAATGAGTTGCTGATCCAAAGTGAATTAACTGAACTGGAAACGCACTGGGACGGAGATTTGTTAAGACTACACTCTCCAAACCATGAACAGTTTTAACAATCTGGAGTTAGATTTAATGCTATCTAGCTTTATGTTACAATCCTGCATTGTACTAGTCACTAGAGTATGTGTGTATGTAAGAAAGAGAAGGAGGGAGAGAGATGTAACTATTGCTTTTTTGAGTGGAGACATGAGTG